GTCTGAAATTTAATATCCTTCATTATCCTCTTTTAATTTAAAACTTCGCATTTAAAATTTAATGATCGAAAATTATCCATTTTTGTGACTTGAAATCAATTAAAACAGTTTTTAAGGCACTGTATCTGTATTTGTCCAAATTACTTCAGCAATAGATACAGACTATTTCAATGTGATTGCTTGATAGTTTGATTTTAAGTTTAATTACTAAAATTTAGAGAAAATGCAGATAAAGAAAATTTGAAAAGTTTTTTATTTGAAGTTTTATTAAGTTTCCTCTTAATTGTAAGGATGCCATAAAATTTATTGAGTTTAACTTTAAATTTTAACTTTAAAAATTAAATAAAATTTAACTACTTTAACATTGCAGAATCATTTAATATGAATTCGATTGCTTTAATTTGAATTTAAATAGTAAAATAATTATTTTAATCGTTGAAAATAAATTTTGAAGAAAGGTCACTTAATGAGAAAGAAAGTAATCAAGTGAAAAGATTTTAAGAAATATATTCATTTCATATCAAAACATTTTTCGAGTATTTTTTAAAGAACATAAAGCATACTTTTAAGTGCTGTCAGAAATATTAAATATTTTTAAATAAACATATTTTTAATGAAAAATATATATTATAAAAATATTTAAATAAATATAAATATAATAAAATTAACATAAAAGTTAAGTAGATCTTCAGTACCAGGCTATAATTATGGGCTCATAGTTTTTGTATGAAGATTGTTTTGATAAAATTGAAGCAATTTTATTAAAAATTTTAATATTTTGATGACTAGTGTAGTTTATAAACAATTTAATACGAAATTTGAAGTTACAATCAAAAAGTATATATAAAAGTAGAATAGATTATTAAAAATATCATTATTTTCTAGTGCTTCGAAAAATATTTGTCTATATATTGTAAATATTTTTCTTTTAACAATAATTCACAAGTATTAAAAATATTACAGTTTTACTATTACAATCTCTAACAATATAATTTAACTATTATAATCCACAATTAAAGTAATTAACATATAAAGTGATTATAAAACGAAATTCTGATGCAAATAAAATCAACACCAGCAATAATTTTCAAAAGAGAATATTAATTTGTTATAAAGTAATTAGATTTAAAAAATCATATATTACATTTAAAAAAATAAAACAAATAATATTGTATAAATTTATATATAAAGTCAGTAATAGTCATTTTTTGAATTGAGAATTTTTCAGTATTACGTTCCTAGATTAGGTTCTAGACATAAGAAAGAATATATAAATCATGCACTACAAAGAAAATAGTATTGAAATTTAATGATTAAAAATAATAATAAAAATAAAATTAATTAATTCAGTTATTCTACATCTGATTTCATTCTAATATAAATACAGCATGTGGATTTGTTAATAAAATCTTTACAGCAAATTAACAAAACTCCAAAAAATGTGCGAACATAAAAGTCAAGTACGGCTTTGGGTCAGTTGGTTAAGGAGCGCTGACTCCGAGGGTCAAATTTGACAGGGCACGAGTTCAATCTTTGGTACTTGCAGCCTAAAAAAATTATTTTCGAATAATTAAATACAAGAATTATTTCCAAGATCACTGATGATGGGTATTTAGCAATACTTGAAACAGCTGTATGGTCAGCAAAAAATTCAATTAATTAAAATAATATAAAATAATATTTACGATAGCAGATAAACTATTGAAATGTATTTGAGAAGTATATATTTCAATTTATTGTATTCTTATATATCTTAATATTATTAATAAATATTATTTTATTTAATCTTAATAATTAACTAATGTAAACCAAATTGCTTCAAACCAGTATAAAACATATAACTGTTTTATAATATTACATCAGATTTTAAAACTAAATTGTTTTAATAAAAAATTTATGACCTCATAACAATGGTCTGTTTTAAAATATTTAATTTTTATTGCATTAGCTTTATTTTATTGCTAATTCTAAGAGATAGTTAGTTTTTAAATTGATATTCAATTTGAGTTCAATGACAATAAATTGTAACAAATATGCCAGTAGTATCAGTTGGCGCTTTTGATAAAAAACCAAACTAACTATGAAGTTCCTGTTTATTGATTAGGTGCAGAAGTCCGATAACAATTTCTTGGAAATTATTTTATTAAATGTTATATGAATTGTATAAAAATGTATTGTTAGCACACAATTTAATAAAACTTTTTAAGAATTCAACTTTTGGCTTTAATTTTTACTTTAATGTCTATGCAAAGACAGTGGATTTCGTGGTGCATAGTTTGTATAATATATAAGTAAGTAAATATTTACTCATCAACGGATTTATTTAGTATATATATTATTCAATCATATTACTTTGTAATTTTATTGTTTATTCAAGTTTGATCGATTAATCTGCAAAGTTTTTCATTCATTATGGCTCTAGGCCACTAAATCTTTAATTAATGCTTGTAAATGTTTCGTATAAGCTAAAGTCGAAATTTCAAGAACATTTGGTGGAATCACTTGTAGTTGTATGTCATATCTAGATTTAAAGCATTTTCTATTAATCAAACTTTTACCCTCTTACTTTTTAAAGACAAAATCCATACCAAAAATCTTTACTGTGAAATTAATAAAGGTAAAGAAATTTATCAAGTAAGGGCTGACCATATCTTGGGTAGTTTTGGATACTGTCAAATATACATCATCTGTGGTCTTTGAAAAAAATATTCAAGAATTTATTTGTTTAAAAAAATTATCTTCCTGATTTAATAACGAAAGTTTTAAATATTTTTTCACTTTTACCATCATCTTTCTTTTAAAAATAGTTTTTTGTCATAGAACATTAAGTTTTAATTAAAGATCTAAAATAATTATATTATAGGCACAATACTGCCATTAAGTATATATATTGTGTGAGAATAATAACCTGCTTCCTATATAAGAAAACATTTTATAGATATATGAGCGAATTATTTAATTGGTGAGCAAAGTGTAAAAGTGACTGAAAATTTATTGCATATAATAAATAATTTAATCTAATAAACAACTAAATGGTAAAAATATGAAAATACATAAAAAATATTAATCAAATTTACTAAAAAAAATAAATAATACAAATTGCATACCATAACATATTTAATATACTTTTATTTTTTGGGTTTCATTCCTCAAACTTAATTTATATTTTATTAAGATTTATTTAATAAAATAGAGAGAGAGAGAAAGAGATCAGACCCCATTCATTACAATTAATATTAAAGAATATTATATACACATACAAAGATATATATGAACATATTGAAAAATAATTCAAATTATTATAACCTAGAAATATGGTATGCATAATAATTATACCGTCTTTTTCTTGTGACTATTAGCTAAAAGTATCTATGAACTAATGGTCTAAATTTTCAACTACTCGTATATTAATATAATATAGATAATACAATTTAATTAGAATTAATTTACACTTGAAGGAAATATACGACAGGAGAGTAGTAGAGTAAGTAAGATTGACGTCTACCTGTTGCGCACCATTAAACAAATGGTATACGCAGTAGAATATATTGAATTTTTTTCAAGTTTAATAAATTTATTCTATTATTGCGATCGTGTCCCACCAGTACGTTTATTGTCATGCTTCACCTATTGACCTATTCACCTGTTGACTTATTTATATGAAATAAGTAGCTACTCTCAGCGCACAAAGTCTTAAAGATTTAAACTGTTATTGCTCGATTGCGTTCAGACATGGTAACATTCCATCAATCTTTTCAATGGATGGGAATAGAAAATCTGACTACCTATCTTCTCGCTTATACTTCGAAAATAACTTTACCATATATCTCTCTTAAGAAAGGAATGGGAGGCAGGGCTGCTTACAGCGCTAGGAAAGATAGCGATCAATACCAAGGGGTCTAAGATGGACAAAGGCATTGGAGACGAAATCTATTTGAGGCAAAAATCTCTCCATTCTTAGAGTATGTGCTTTTACTTTTTTATTTTTACTGACAGCCAGCAAGCTATTAAAGCTTTATCAGTGGTCTATATTATATGTGGAGAATTTATCAATGCACGTGAAATTCGAAGTCCAAAGTAATTCTAGTTTGAGTTCTTGGGCATTCTAATATAGTAGGAATTGAGCGAGAGACGACCTTGCTGGACTAGGCGGATTCAAAACGGCTTTTTTAGCTAATTGAGGAGGATTGTTCCTCCCTCCACTTCAACTAACTAACTAAATTTATTATATCTTATAGATCTACTTCTTTAGAACGGCTATAGTTTTACAAACTTATTTTTTGTTTTACTGATTAATGTTTCATATGGGCTACAATTTATATGAAATGATTTAAAATGTATATATAGGTCGTGTGCGAGTTAGGCTAAGTTGCGTTCTAAATGAACGCAACTTAGCGTTCATTCTAAGTTGTGTCGATAATGTATTGATGTGTCGATACGTGTTGATAAATGGCAAAATGTGTGCAGTGCAAAAAATCCCAAAAAATCTCCCATTTGGTTTAGCATCAACTTAGCTTAACTCGCACACGTCCATAATTATACAAAATATTACTGGTTAGTTTACTTTTTTAATTTTTTTTATTTGTTTACTTATTTTCACTTCAGCCTCTTTATAAACAAAAAATAATAATAATAACTTTTGCGACTCTTGAAAATAAAAATTGACATTTTAAAATTAAAAATGAAAATTCAAAATTTTAAAAATGGTCATATTTTTATATATATATATATTTATATTATATTATTATTAAATTAAATATTTTTATATTATTATAAAATCATCAAAGTTATAGAATTTAATATTGTTTTGAATTTTTTTCTAAATAAAAAAAACAATTGTAAGGTGCAATTATAGTTCATGTATATTAAATTCTAATAAAATAGTAAATTTATAGATTTACTTAAGTTATCGTAATCGAACCAATGCAATCTAATCTATAAAGAAAAAGTGTCGCAATTCTAAGAGCTACCAAATTACTAAATTTGATTTCGAGTTTAGTGTAGAATAAGATTAAAATCAATCGAAATGCGACTAATTCTTGAGTTTCTTTTTATTCTAAGCATAGGTGAGACTAAGAGACTGACTTACCGCATAATATTATATTTATAAAATTATTATATATCACATAGCTTCCAGCTTTGGAGCAACGTTGGTCAACGAATTGAAAAGTAAAAATGTTAGTGATAATCAAAAAATCAGTGAAAACGAATTCTCATCAAGATTTGTGACTGAAGTTGGTGAACAATCTGTCAAATTTTACGTATACAACCGTGAAAATTTGGAAACGCCAGATTTCGTAGAGTCTAATGTCGAATCAATCATAAGAACTATTTACAATCCGCTCAAACCAACTGTGTAAGTAATTTCAAATTTTTTATTTCACCGCAATTCTAAATTAAACGAACTACAAAACTTTAGTTTCTCAATACATGGTTGGTTAAGCAACAAGGACTCAGATGAAAATAAAATAATTGTTCCGGCAAAGCTTGAGCAAGAAGATTGCAATGTGATTGTGGTGGACTACAGTTTGGTTTTGTCGGAACAGAGTACTGAGGATATTGCATCATATGTTGGTGCCAAAGTTGCAGATTTCATTTTGCTATTGTACACGTATTTTGATGTGAAGATATCAAATATACATGTAGTTGGTTTCAGTATGGGTGCACAAACATCTGGTTTTGTTGGACAATTCGTTTATAAATCAACTGGTGAAAAAATAGCAAAAATAACTGGTTTAGATCCAGCTGGAGGCATGTACAATTCTCTTCCAGAAGATGAACGTTTATCAGCAGATGATGCACATTTCGTTGAAGTTATACACACCAATGGTGGCATAGTTGGCTACTACGCACCTTGTGGTCATGCTGATTACTATCCAAACGGTGGTAGAATTCAACCTGGTTGTAGTGTTATTGATTTGGGTTGCTCTCATTTACGTGCTTTTGAGTTGGTTGCTGAAATGTGGTCAGCTAAAAATGAATATGTCGTATTGAAATGTGCATCAACCAGTCAAATGAGTTTGGACCAATGCTCTTGGGTTAATGTCAATATGGGCAAAAATTCTGAACGTCCTGGTATTTATTACTTACAAACGAATAATGCTACTCCCTTCGGAAAGGGTAGTTATGTGCGAACGTTTTTATAATAATGTACAATAATAAAAAAAATTAATTTTATTTGGAAAACTTATTTATCAAGCTACTTAAAAATCTAAAATAGTAAAAAAGATACAACATTTTTTAGTAGTAAATTTAAAAGTAGAAAAATACATGTCTGTGTGCGAATGTTTCACCCAGATACTAATTTAACCACAAGTCAGTCTTCTCACAGCAATTCATGTCATCATACTTCAATTTAAACTTCTTGCAATTTTATCATTGCAACAGTTCACTTCTGTTTCATTTAAGTAACTTCACTTTCTGTAAAAACTTTACCACGTCCTATTGTTTGTTGTAGTCTAAGGATTCAGTTTGATGCAGTCTAAGGACTCGCTGTGAGTGTGTACTTGTAATTTTATCTACTCACCATGATGCACGCAGAATAGGAATCTCACGGATGTTCAAACATTGTTGACATTTATTCGTGCATAAAAAAGTTGTGTCGATATTAACAAATATTTTTATTGATTTTATTTAAAGGAATTTTATTATCTTTTTACGATTTTAAAAGCATCAATATTTACTTTAGATACAACAATTTTTTTTCTATTAAAACGGTAATATATTTCAGTTCAAAGACCTTTATCCTTAAATTTCTTGTGATCAGCTTTAGGTCATATTAAATTTCTGTTATATTTCGTTTTTTATTTAAAAAGTTTCATTAAAAATTCTTTAAATTCTTTTAATTTTTCGTTCAAATACTTTTGAAATATTTGCTCTGGTTTTTCTAAAGTAACACTTCGTTTGACATTTTCAAGATAACCATCGTCATCATCAGTGTCAAGAGAAGACGAAATCAACATTAATTTGTTGGAAATTCGTTAAAAGATATTTTTGTTTCGTTTTAATCTGCGTGAAGTGAATTTAATAAAAATATCCATAACGGAGTACTATTTTATTAGTTTTTTTTTTGTTTTTTGCATTTTTCCACAATTTGAAACAAAATTGTTATTTTATGCACGTACGTGATGAATTGAAATTTGAAATGTGTATACAAATTCGTACAAATTTAGTAACTTAATATCGAAATCAACAAGAATTTAAAACCAAATAATACTCAAAAGGCACCTTAGCACCACAAAAAAAAAAACGAATTATGTTGTTCCATTGGATTAGAGCCTGGCCTAGTTTTTTTTTATTATTTGTATATGGTATATCAGGGCCGCATTAACCCAATTTAGAGCCTTAGACACATTTTTCATACCGAACCACCTAATTCTTCTATAATTAATATTACTGATATTATATTCATCGATATACAAAATTCGAGGGCGGTTTGATAAGTCAATGACTTTTTGAATTTCGCGCACAGTTACTCCAAATGCAACAGTGCTGCCGTCAGCTGTAATCTGTCAGTGGGCAACTTTCGTTCAGTTGGTGTTTGATAACCGTTCAAAGCAGACAACCTCTTGAATTTTTACGAAAATGGAAAAACGTGAATTTCGTGTGCTGATTAAGCATTACTAGCCAAAATCCACGAATTGGGATACGAACTGCTGCCCCATCCAGCATATACTCCAGATTTAGCCCCCTGCGATTATTTTCTGTTTCCAAACCTAAAGAAATGCCTGGACGGTAAGAGATTTGAGTCGAATGAAGAAGTCATTACCGAAACCAACGCATATTTTGAGAAAACCTATTATTTGGAGGGAATAAGAATATTAGAAAAACGCTGGACTAAATGTATCGAACTAAAAGGTGATTATGTAGAAAAATAAAATGTTTGCCGAAAAAAATTTGTTTTATTTAAAAAGTCACTGACTTATCAAATCGCCCTCGCATATTAGATATTAGAATTCGTAATAAGCATATGCAAGCCAATATTTATTGGTTTATTACATACAGTTAGCCAACAGAAAAAAAAAGTATCTTACACTAATAATATTAAATACAATATATTTATTTGTAATTATAAAAAAAAAATGGCTAGATTGGTAATTCCGCAAAATATTTACTGTCATAACTGCAATTAAACGAAGAAAATGAAGTATTTACTACTTTGTATTGTTAATGCCGTACACTCTAGAAGCAGAGAATAGCTTTTAGAATAGCTAAGTAATCTGCTCTTTAGTAATTTTGTGAAGCTAGCGGCAGATATTAACTAACTTTAGAGGTTCTTAAACTGCACAGCTTAAATCAGCTTCGAACATGTTTCCATTGTTTCGTTATATCATGTTTCCACTGTCTCATTTAGGCAGTTTTGCTCATTAAGGCCGCTTATGGGGTTAATTTTTCATACAAATAGCTTTAATATAAATGAAGTCATTATAAATAAAGCAACTGATTTCAGGCAAAACATGTCAAATGCAACCCTTAAAAATAAATTTCCCACAAGGAACATTACCAAATTTGAAATATTTAAAAGAAATAAAATATGTAAAAAGTAAACAAACATTTCACACGCATAAATCAACTTATGCTATTGGAAACGACCAAATCTTAATTTCATTAACACAAATAGTCTTATCTGTAGTGGAAATATGATATAAGAGCGTTTTGTAATGAATAAGGTGCGAAAGTGTTGATTAAACTTAGAACCACTTTAATCAAGCAATAATTAACAAACAATAATAATATAATAGTAAATGAAAAATACTAAATAAATAAAAGAATTTTTTGCATTTCAATTAAGTATATCGAAAATCCACTTCATTAAAAATCAACTTTTTTTTGAGAATTTTCTTAGTGTAGTATTAAGTTTAAAAAAAAAAAATACAAAAAAATAAAAAAATATATACTGAAGTTTAATTAAAATAAATTTCTTAAAAAAAAATACCAAAAATATAGACAAAAATATAAACAGAGAAATTAGTTTAAAGTAAAATATTATTACATTTTATTTGAAACATACAATATAAGTCAAATATAATGCTCTGAGCGTTATAACGGTGGCGTGTCGGAAAAATCGTTATACATTTTATATCACTATTATCGAAAGTAAATATATATGATGTCAAAAAATCATACTCCTATTTTAACACCATGAAGTATATATGAAATGGCGAGCATATGATAATTACATATATATGTATGGTATTTGCTTTACAGATATAAAAAAGTGCGAAGAAAATATTTTTGTTCCACATCGCCAAGAGAAATAATGCAATTACTGTTGGGTGATCATATTATTTTTGCCTTGAGAGTTATGTTCAATATTGTTTGGTATCTTAGGTATTAAGTTTTGAAGTCTATAACACCAATAAGTGGTAATATACTTGCACAGTTAAGAAGGTCCGTATCGCATAGTGTTGTATATATTTATATGTTTCTAAAGTGGGTATAAAATTGGATATATCTTTTTAAGGAAAGCTTTACAAATATCTTTAAGTTGTTTTAGTCACTTCTAAATAATTATCAAACGATTGCAGTGGTGTTTTGCGTAAAAATCGCTGAAATCAATGATTAAAAGTTCATAATTCTCTATGGTATTCTAAAATTGATTAATTCAGTACAATTTAAATATGTAGCTTAGAAATCGCAGATACAGATAATATCTGCCTACATTATGCTGATAGCATAATATATTATAAATCCCACAATGAGAATATATGTAGAAAGTGATATATAGTATTCACTTTTAGTGAGTATAAGTGAACAATTTTTAACACAAACTTGTCAAACTTAACAGTAGAATGTTATCATAGAACATTATTAAAAATCTACGTATCTTTTTTAAATGTATTGGCAAATGTTATCTTATAAATCACATAATCTCTGTAGATATACCGGAAATTAAATACATTATCTTTAAAATTATATAAGAAAGTTGTTAACATTTTAAACTAAAACTTGATAAATGGCTTCTAGCATAACGCGGGTCTTTTCAGTCTGTGGGAATACTTGTTCAATCCTCATCACTGCTAAATACGATTTTGTAAATTGCCTTTTTGTAAATCAGAAAAAAATATCCATATCAATTGATGTTGCATTATATATTTTTGTGCCCATCCTAATAGAAAATCAGTATAAAAGTTTTTCTTGTATAATACAATAAGCATAGTTCTTTATGTTATTTTTATCTTTTTAATAATAAAAATATTTTTACAAATATATTTATAATATTTAATAATATTTATTTTAATATTTAATATGTATACAAATATTTTTACCTGTCTCTTTTTTTGTTGTTATTGAAGAAAACGGTTAAAACTACAAGTGTAGGACTTAAACCGATTAAAACCACTTTTTATGAATGAATTTAAAATAGTTTTTAGCAAATGCTGAGAACAATAAAAACAATCAAGGGATGAGTAATTAGAATTTACATTATCAAATGCCCCTAGTCCAAGGGGTGCACAACTCTATTGCATGTCAATTATGGGAGTATTACTAAGAAAAAATGGAGGATGAGTAATTGCTTAAGAGTACACTCTTAAGATTCTATAGTGAAAATTTTTAAATTAGTGATGATAAAATGGAATAGTGAGAGGATATTGTCTCATTTTATAAAAATACAAGAGCCAAATACTCAGGTAGTTTAAGAAAACAATTCGATTTTTATTCTGTTTTCTTTTTTTTTTTCTTTTTCGAGATACACGTTTATATCTAATAAAATATAGTTTAAATCTTATACCTATTAGATAAAAAAATAATATAAAATAAAAAATGTTAGATGGTATATATATAACATATATTAAAGCCAATTTTTGCCTCAGTTTCTCTCCACTGGGATCTTTCTTATATATAGAACGCTTCTAACACTTTAAAAGAAAATATTAACAAATTTCGTTTGTTCTGTGTGAAATATAGTAAAAGTATTACTTATGGGATATTCCAGTACTGTATCTCTGTAAATAATACAGTACTGTAATACAGTACAGTACAATAATTATACAGTAATATAGTATGTTACATCTGTAAACTGATGCAAAGTACGTGTACCATTTGTGCTACACAACATTCTATAGTAAAGGAAATTTATTTTTTCAAAATATTATGCGGATTACCTGATAAAAATTTCTTAAGCAATACTTCATTATTCTATAAATATAACTAGATTAAATAATTAAATAAATTGTTTATACAACGGAAACAATAATCATTATCAATTTCAAATTGAATACTGTTAAATGCTCTATCGGTAGTATGAAATTCCTAATATAATTTTTTACTCGAATTAAATTCACTCTCTTTTTTACAATCACAGCTTATTTATTTCTTTAAAAAAATGTTGAGACGAAACTACCCTTACCATAAGGAGCAGCATTATTTGTTTCTAAGTAATAAATTCCAGTGCGTTCGTAATTTTTGCCCATATTTACATTAACCCAAGAGCACTCTTTCAAACTCATTTCATCAGTTGATGCACATTTCGTAACAACATATTCATTTTTAATTGACCACATTTCAGCGACTAACCTATAGGAGCGTTGGTGGGAGCATACCGTATTTAGCACACCGCAACCAGGTTGCACTTTACCACCATTTGGATAGTAATCAGCATGACCACAAGGTGCGTAGTAAGCAAATACACCACCATTAGTGTGTACGACTTCAACAAAATGTGCATCATCTGGTGATAGGCGTTCATCTTCAGAAGCAGTATTGAATGTACCTCCAGCTGGATCCAAAGCAGTTATTTTCGACACTTTATCACCGGTAAATTTATAAATATATTGGCCAGCAAAACCAGCAGCTTGTGCACCCATACTAAAACCAACTAAATGAATTTGTGATAGCTTCACATCAAAGTACGTGTGCAACACCATGATGAAGTCTGCAATTATGCTACCTATATATGGTGCACGGTCGTCAACTGCAATTGGCCCCAACGCTGAGCTGTAGTCCACAACAATCACATTGCAATCTTCTTGCTCAAGTTTTGTTGAAACAATTATTTTATTTTCATCTGAGTCCTTGTGGCTTAACCAACCATGTATCGAGAAACTAAGGTTTTGCAGTTCGTTTAATTTTAAATTACGGAGAAATAATATTTTTGAAATTACTTACACAGTTGGTTTCAGAGGATTGTACACATTTCTTATGATTGATTCGACATTGGATTCCACGATTTCGGGTATTTCTTTATTTTCACGGGAGTATACATAGAATTTTATAGGTTGTTCACCAACTTCATTTATAAATTTTGGGAAGGATTCATTCGGATTTACACTTTCATTTTTTAATTTGTTTATTATTTTCCCATAACCGGAAGCTATTCGATAGTAGAATAAAATAAAATATGTGCATTATTTTATTTCTTTAATCTCACCTAAGTTTAAAGCTAAAATAAATACTAAAATTAGTCGCATTCCGATTGATTTTAATTGAATTCCACACTAAACTCAACTGTTAAATTTGGTAGAAAGCAATGCGAATGTTTGCTTAGCTTTCGAACTTTCATTGATTAAATTGCAATGCATCGATTAGTAAATCTTTGAAATGATATAGATAGTACTGATTATGATATACAAATACTGCGATTAGTACTATATGACATTGTACAATACCTTATACCAATATTGAAATTAATATATATAATATAATATTACACATGCACACGTATATTAATAATTTAAATGAGTCTAGAGAAAAATAAAAAATCATTAGCAGTTAAACTCATTTATATCTTTCACCATCTTTTTCGATTTTTAGGAAATTATGTTATAAATTTGAAAATCTTTTTAAATTATATATATTATATACATTTGTCTTTTTTTTTGCAAATTGCTTAAGATTTTCAATCTGTTTTTCTAACTAACCATTCGCACTAAAAACTAATACAAATTTTATTTTTACATTGCTTTATAGCATTCAGCTTCATATTATGTTTAAAAAATATTATTAAATAAAAAAAATTATCAATCAATCAAAATTGATTTTGTTGCCTTTAAACTAGACCTCACCGAGTGTAATACAACTATGCCAGTGATCGAGACAAACCTCCATATATTTTTCTTATCCTGCTTAAAATATGGCCTTCAATTTCTTAAGCAAATATCTTTAAAGCGCATATCAAATCGAAACACCAAAGAAATGATACTTTTAGCTTTTGGCTGAAATAATTTAAGATTAACTATATATGATACATGATATAGTGCAATAGAATTACCTGAAATTTTTTATACACATACAATTTAATTAATAATATTTACGAAAAGTGCAATTTATTTCAAAAACTTGAAATAGTTAAATGTTCAATTTTGAGTCTACTTTGTAATACATATATAGATAATAAAAATAGTACATACAGATAATAAAATATATATTCTAGAACAACACACCTAACAATAAAAACTGCAATACTCATATAACAAATACAAAAACATTCTTATTAGAACCTTTGTTGTAATAAAACCTTTTTATTAAATACGTTTTGTCGCAACATTGCAAAGGGTTATATAGACATATTTTTTATATACATATATATTATAAATATATATTATATAGATATATTATTTTATAATAATATATAATAATAATATATAATATAATAATATATAACTGGTACTTTTTCCTTTTAAATTATTTTCGTATTCTTATTTTTTAGAGCAGTTATCATACACTTCCGTTATTTCGTGATTTTAGTGCTGTTAGTTAATATATTTTTCTTTTCTTTTTTTTTTGCTTCTGTAATGCTCTTAGAAGATTTTTATTGTATCTTCTTTTGGTCTTAGTTGAATACTGACTGCGTGCGTGAGAGAAATTATAGCGAAGGAGTTTAGCAGAGTAATTAATATGAGCTGTGAAATTTTTGGTGTGTGACCTAATAAGTTTAATGAATGATGTTGAGTACTTTTGTATTTATAATTTCTGTGTTTAGTTTATTTAACTAAAAGTTTGGATGTTTCTTTTATTTTTGTTTTTAAATTCTGATACTTTGCACATTGACTGTTTATTATACTCGTAATGAATGCTTGTGTGAAGTAAATGAAGATGTTTGTTCGCAGGATGGGTACTTGATATAAAATAAATAAAAATTTATTTAATGGGAGTAAATTTTGAATTATATTTTACTTAAATTTAAAAATATTCACAAGCATGTTAACCACTTTTTAGTAAAAGCATCTCCTATGTATGGTTTAATTACTGCAATAAGTGATGGTTTTTAAAGCAATCCAATTAACCAATTTAAAAACAATATGTTTTTAAAATTTTTTCTTGATTTCTTAAGAAGGGTTTCTTTTGGATAATTACAAGAAATATTTGAAAGATAAAATTAGGAAAGAATATCTAAGGTGAAACTTTTTATTTATTTATTTATAATATGTTGAATGAAGAAATGAGTTTCGTATATCTTTAAATGAAACATTTTTAGTAACACTTCAAATATTAAATTTTTTTTATGTTTGAACCCATTATTTCCAGAGAAACCAATGTCTTAGAGAAAAACTGTTGCAGATTTTTATTGTATTTAATCAAAAATAAAAAAAGAAAAATTACTTTATATTCGTCGCACAATGTTATCATTCAGTTCATACGATTTATTGCAGAACATATTTTAAATATCTAGAAAGTGTCATTATTAATTATGAACAATATTTAATATATTCTACTACTTCTTTCATGATTTCAATGTCATTTTAATAATAATTAAGTTATATTAAAAATTATAATTTAGATAAGTTGTTACACTATTTATCTTTATTGAGTAGATATTGTCTTATGGTAGGGCCTACTGACTCATAAGTTATTTTTTTGTAGATTCTTTAAGTTGATATGTTATTTTTTTTCTTACATTGAAAAATTAATTACGAGCTATATTTGATAATGATTATGATGTATAAATAAATTGCTACAATTTCTTTTACAATACATTATTCATTTATAAGGTGATATAAAATTAACAACAGTGGAGGTTATACAAGTATATAGTTTCGAAAGTAAAGTCGGAAAGGTAAATCCTTCAGTGGATATCATATCAATATTTTATGGTATTTGGACGAATAGAATAAAAAGCATATGCTTCTGTTACAATATGAGCACCAAATACATAATAAATATTAAGTTTTGTTGTTCCAAAGTTTTCGGTAAATTGATATATCAAATTTATTCAAATTTATGAATGAAACTTAGATATAAATGATATGTAATATATTGACAAACTGAAATTATTGTGATTATTGCAAATCTCAACAAAGCTTTGTGTATATTTATAAAAAATACGTTAAGATCATCATTGAAATTCATGGAGTTCGTCATTAATTGAAAACCTTATGCATCAGCTAGATCAATCACTCACAACCTATGACTTCTATCTTATCTAAAAAATGCATTTGCATTTTGTAGCTATAGAATACATTTAAAATGCTTGTGTAGATATCCTCTCGTCCAACAAAATTTTTATAATAAGAAAATTATTTTAGAATAACATTTATTATAAAACTTGAAATACAATTTGTATAAAAAGAAGCTTATAATTAAGATATTATAGGAATTCATACAATGTTTACCATATATCATTGACGATTAATTGACCAAAAGTGTAGTGCAAAAAAGCATCTACGTAAAATATTAAAGATAGTACGATCAATTATTTTAAAATATCTTACAGGGTGTTTCCTAACTCAGTGACATTAATGCATGAGGTTATCGCTCTGTCTAGCAAACCAAAAAAATGGTCTCGAAAAAATCCATTTTCAATATTAACTGACATACAAATTACCAAAAAAAAATTTAACCAAAAAGAAATTTCAATCAGTCTCTGAAAAATGCATTTTCTAAGCTTATGGTCAATACTCATTTTTAACACATAAAATGTTCTTTAAGTAAAAGATTCAAAATTTTTGTGCTTACAAACAAGGACCATAACAGTTGTCACTATAAAAATAAAAATAACTCTTATCATTGGTATTTAAAAATAAAACTCAAAAAAAACTAATTAAATTTGCTTACATTATATTTTTCAAAAATAATTATTATCATCTGCCTTTTATTTTTCCACGCACAAATAGCTCTTGCACTCTGCTTTTTATTTTAAAACGCACAAATAATTGTTATTTTTGCCTTAAAAATATAAAAATCAGGAATAACTTTTATTTTTGAAAACAAAATATAAATCTCACGACGTGACTGATATTTTTAAAAACGAAAATCAAATAAAATGCATTCTGCTTGTAGTTGTTGTAATTTAGTTGTAGTGGTTTTTGTAATTTCATACAAAATGTGTTAAAGAGTTACAAATGTTTGCAAATAAATGTTTGATGTAATTTTTTAAGACTTTTAAGTAAAATATTAGAACAATTTTTATATTTCTCTGTTTCTCACACAAAAATATCTGATTGACATTTAAAAATTTTTTTCAAAAGAAGTATCGAACTATCATCTAATATCAATTTGCTATAATTATATTGACAATGCAGATATTTACGACTTTTTTCGAAAAAAACGCATCAATTTGTGATCTAGCAAGTGTTAATTTATTTCGATATACTATTTTGGAGATATTGAAGACTTTTATTTGTTATATATCCTATATATTCGATAGAATTATAAAATAAAAAGCTGTATACAAGGAAACCCCTTTATATAGTGTTTTTTTTCATTTTGTGAACTAAAGAATTATCTTCGTAAATTAAAGAAAAACACCCTGTACTTAAAATAACTTTTATTTTATTTGATATTTTAATCTTACATTATAAACATAATGGAATTTGTTGATAATAAAATTTGTTCCGTTTTCTTTTTTTTTTTTTGAAAATAAATGTATTTTATTATTTCTGTTTCCCCTCAATTTATTTATTTTGATTATATTTCTATTTTTAGTCATTTTAGTGTACTTTGTTAGTTGAAATGCACTGCAAATGTACGTAAACAATAACTTAAAAAAAAACATTTTAATTTTACTGCTTTTAAAATGTAGAAGAAATTTGAATTTATTGTTTTGAAAGTCTTTAAATCTTAAGGTTAAATTACAATAGAATTTTAATGTAGTACGTAGGCTTTTCAACAGTAAAATTACCTTGAATGTCTATAAAAATATATGTGCTATTTTTAACTCACAGAGCATATATTTATATTTCAAATAAATTAATTTAAAATGAAATCCATATCATAAATTTTGAAAAACATTTAATTTTTCAAAAAAAACCCCAACTTTCTTATAAATTTATATGCACCGCATATCCTTGTTCATAAATCCTCTACATCTTTACGTCTTTATGTTGCAGTAAACCGCCTTCGAGTTTCAAAACTCGTCCCTTTTCATTTTAATCCAATCAGTAAAGCAAATTTTCATGCAACATTAAACTTTGGCCAATTTTATTTTGACACACGTCATTATGAAAAATTGAATTACAATATCCTATTATCC